GTCCCCTCCCGATGGGACGGAGCACTCGGGGCCGGGCCAAAATGACGTCGGGCATCTCAGCAAATCCCGGGAACAAAGGCGGGGAGCTTGCTGCTTTTGTCCCTGCCTGCTCCAGTCAGGTTTGTTCCTCCTGTCGAATTTCACGACTTGGCAGGGAAAAAGGGACGGGCAGAGTTAGGCCTGCAGTGCAAGCATAGCACTAAAAGAGTGATTTTTGGTAAAAATCCCAGCCTAACCCACCAGAAACCCTTTGTGCTTGCCTTGCTTTAACCTGCAAGGCTGTCCTTAGTCCGTGAGAGTTTGCAGAGGACATTTCCAGGCAGTTTCACACCGAGGAGATTCCTCTTTATCCAGCAAAAATGGGTAAGCCGTGGCTTTCTGTCCCAGGATGCTGAGAAGGAGAAAAGCCTGTAAAGCTTCCTTTTAGGTTTGCATGAATTCATGGAGGGAAAAAAAAACCAAACTCGCCAAAAATTCTAATCCACACCTGCCCTGGCCCCGTGTTCCTCCAGCTGTTTCCACTCCTGGCTGCTGGGCCACATGGATTTTGGGCTGCCTTGGAAAGGCTGTTTCCAGACCTTTGCAGGAAGTTTGTTTTTCCTCTGTGGCTGTTTCAGTGTTTCCTGGGGATGAGGCTGTAAAGTCGGCTTTAAGCTGGTCCTTGGAGGACTTTGCTTGGCCTGAGGAGGCATCTGAGGTCATGATATGGAGCTGAGCTGCTGTGCTGCAGATGAACGGATTATTTCTCACCCCTGCATTAGGAGCTCTGTGGATTTAGTAATTTCTCCACTATGTTGTTGCTTTTATCCACCCCTCCATCCCTTTCTCCAGCCTTCCCTCCACACACCCCTCCATCCCTCCCTCTGCACATCCCTCCGTCCTCCGTCCACCCAGGAGTTCCTGGAGACACCTCTGAGGCTCCAGACCTTGGTGCTTGTCCCAGGAGCCTGCGTGCTCTGGGAAAGAGCGGGCAGGGATGGAGGAACCTGCTCCAAGGGACACGGGGTTGGACGCTGGCTGGTGAGACAAAGCACAGGAAAACACCCAAGTGAGGCTTTTCTCCAGAATCCACTGGAGAAACTGCTGGCAGGAGTGTGAATTGAGCACTTACAGGGGTAATCTTGTGTGAAATGTTCAGTAACGGTCTGTCCGTCCCTCTTCATTCCCCTGTGCCCCTCTGCTCTCCCTCATTAACCCTTTCTAGGCTGTCACCCTCCTGCAGCCCCGGCTTTCCCGGGAGGAACCAGTCCCATTAAATCCGCGATGCTGTTTTCCCTCAGAGTTGACATCCAAAAGGCTCCCCTGTGACTCACAGGCTATTCAACCCTTTACGATCCTGCAGTGCCTGGCCTCGTTATCCGGTGAGTGGGATGCAAAGTCTTTGTAAGGGAGAAGAGCGGATGAAGGGGGGAAGGAGAGGGGCACAAGGATGCTGACCACGACAAGGTGCACTGACCCCCAAAGCCTCCCCCAAGGGCTCCGCAAACCGGGATGAGACTTTCCTACACCACCATCTCCGAGGAACTCATCCATGAAACCCTCCGAGCCAGCTGGAGACACCAGTCCCGTGCCTTGTCCCACCAGTGGCTATTCCAGAAGCGGCTGCCGCAGTTCTGGCGCTCAGCGCAGCCTTCGGGCTGTTCCCGCATCCCAGAGGAAAAGCCGTTAATTATCCCAGCGATCCCCAAGAACGGGGGCAGCCCTAATTACAGCCCCGGCCTGTTCACTTCGCTTGGGCTGGTGTTTCTGCTTGTAACGCAGAAACAAAAGGCAGCGGACTAAGGCAAATGACGCCGCTATGAAGGAAGGAGCAGGGGAGGGAGACAGGATCTCGAATGCTCCAGGAGTTGGGATGGTCTCTGCAAACCGATTTTCCCCCTCTCGAGGTCATCAGATTCGGCAAAAACCTCTGGCACAAGCTGCTGCTCCAGGGTTTCGCTTTGCCTGGGTGAGGAAGGGCTAATTGGAGGCAGATTAAAAGTCACTCTTCGGGATAATCCGTGAGCGGCCGTGGAAGCGCGGGAAGGATCGCTCCGTTGGCTCTGGATGTGTGAGGACTCCGGGGCTCTTTGTGTTCCGAAAAAAAAAAAAAAGAAAAAAAAAGAAAAAAAAGATAAAAAAAATTAAAAAAAGATGTTTTGAAGCGCAAGATGAGCTGGGGGAAGGGAGATGGGATGGGGGAGAACTGGGAAGAAATAATTGCCATGTCTGAAAACAGTTACTATGGCAGCAACAGTCTTCGCGCTGCCGGAGCGAAATGTTGGGGAGCAGCGAGCGGTCCCTTTGTCACATCCTCAGACACACATTTAGATGCTAATGCTGGCTTTAACCTTGGCTGCTTAACCTTGATAGGCTGGGGAGGGGGGGAGGTAGGGGAGAAAAAGCAAGGAAGGGGGGAGAGTATGGAAAAGATGGGTTTCCTCTCCCTAAATTTGCCACTGAATCGACTTGGCAGACTCCTCTCAGCTGCCATTAACACTGTTATTTCTACGCTTAATATTCCGCGGAGGTCTTAACAGCTTATTTATGGGTAGCTGGCATTAGCTGCAGCATAATTCACCGCTGAGACGCTCCTGTTTATCTCCATCCCCTTGGGATTGTCTCATATAAGGCCGCTTTTGAGCACATCCGCAGGTTTGATCGGCCTGACTATCTAATCTCGCCTTTTTTTATAACCGGAGGGGTGCAAAGGAGGGAAGTCTCCCCTTTGGACTTTTGGGGGGAGGAAGGGGAAGAAATTTTGGTGGCCTGTTTCTCTTTTCTCGAGGCTCAAAGCTGTCTCCAGCAGCAGGGATGAAGGAGGAGGGAGAGGGGGAATTCCCTGGGTCGTGCTACCTGACACAACACCGAGGGCTGAAACAGCAACTCCTGTACTCCTGGACCCGAGCGCGGGCTCGCAGCCCGAAGGTAAATTCCTAAATCGCAGCCCGAAGGTAAATTCCTAAACCGCAGCCCGACTGCACACAGATTAGCCACGAATTCTGGGAGCAGCCCGGGATGCCCTCGTTTTGGGATTATCCTCACAGCAGCCTTTAAGAAAGCTTTTGCTGGAGGCATTCGGGCAGGAGAGATGAGAGTGGTGCCAGTGCCGTGTCTGCTGCTGGCAGGGCTCACAGATATGACACTATTCTTCTACTTCTGACATTTTTTTTCCTCTTTAATGCTCCAGCTTCTGGAGTCGGGTGATCACTCGCGGCTTCCTCCACTTGCTCTCGGAACCTTATTGCTTTGGGGTGGTGGCGAAGTAAGACCTGAGCTCACACCGGCTCAAAGATTAGTCGGCCAAGGACAACCCCGCTGCACAAAATATTTTCATTTTCCAGCCCATCCAGCACCTGTGTCTTGATTTTGGGATGGTGGTGCTGCTCACACGTGCCAAGGAGCATTTCTGCCACCTGCACATTGCTGGGATGGAGCTCCTTGCACTTTTCCCGCTGTCACCACACGCCGATTTCCACCAAAACTGTGCCCAGTGTCACCTCCAGAGACTGTCACAGGAGCTGTCTGTATTTTTAATGATGGCATGTGTAGCCTTATCTCCATGCAAGGCCACAACACACATTCTTGGGATGAAATATGGATAAGATCCCACTCCAGCCCGACAAATCCTCATCACATGCTGTAGGGGGGGGAAAGCACCTTAAATTAAAAAAAGCAGCATCTGTCTTCTGCAGTGCACTTCTTTCTCTGAGGCTTTCTGGTTAAGCTCTCAGATGCAGTTGATATTTATTTTACAAATGCTGGGAAAGAGGGGATGAGTAACGTTGTAGGAACCACCCAAAAGCTGCTGCTTTTTGGCTCAGGAGCAAGGTCAGAAATAAATGCAGCAGCATTGGCACAGAGAAGCTCTGGCTGCCCCATCCCTGGAAGTGTTCCAGGCCAGGTTGGATGGGGTTTGGAGCAGCCTGGTCTAGTGGAAGGTGTCTGTGCCCAGGGCAGGGCGTGGGACTGGAAGTAGGTCTTTAAGGTCCCTTCTATGAGTAGCTGGAACAGCAACTGCATGGCACAGTGTGGTGGGCCCTGGGGGGCTGCCCAAACACGGAGAGCTCAGGGGCTTTAAGGTGTGTTGAGGGCATTCACAACACTTACAAAATATGAGACACAGAAGCCATTAGCAGCAGTGATGGATTAACACCAGCCCTGCCCTGGATCCAGCACAGGGGAGCTTTTCCTCCAGTGGCATCTCTGTGCTCTGGGAGTCTGTCACAGCTGTGGGGGACACGGGTGCTGCATTTCCCAGCACTGCACTTCCCAGGAAGAGAACATCCATTGCTCTCCTGCATCCCGCTCAAATCCCCGCTGGAGCCAGCGCTCCCTGCAGAGCTGTGCCTGAACAGCCTCTCAATCCCCCCCACTTCCCTCAGCCTGGTGCAGCAGAAGGTCCCTCCTCGTGTCTCACATGCAATGAACAATCCTAGAATCCCAGAATCCCACACTGGTTTGGGTTGGAAGGATCCTTAAAGCTCATTTTGTTCCACCCCCTGTCATGGGCAGGGACACCTTCCACTAGCCCAGGTTGCTCCAAGCCCCGTCCAGCCTGGCCTTGGACACTTCCAGGGGTGGGGCAGCCACCCCCTGAATAACACCGTGGCTTGGCTACTGTTTTTAGGGTTTTTCACCGCTTTCTGTGGCCGGTGATGATGCCGGGCATAAGGATAACCAAGCGCTCGGCACAGGGGGATCTCGCTGCCAGGGGCCCCCGAGGAGCAGAAGTGCAGGCAGGAGGAGCAGTGCAGGCAGGGGCAGGTGAAGTGCAGGCAGGGGCGGTGCAGGCAGGAGCGATGCGGGCAGGACGGGAGGCGGAGCGGGAGGAAGGCGGCGGCGCAGGCCCTCCTCCTCCTCCTCCTCTTTCTCCTCCTTTTTCTCCTCCTCTTTCTCCTCCTCCTCCTGCCGGGCGGGGCGGGGGTCTCCAGTGCCCGCGCTGTGCTGCCGCGTGGAGCCGAGCTGCGTGTTCCCCGATCCCAATCCCCGCTCCCTGATCCCGGTCCCCGTGCCCGAGCCGTGCCCCCGCCGCGGGCCGGCGGCGCGGGGATGGGCGCGGGGCTGTGAGCGGGGCGTGAGCCGTGGCCATGGGGAACATCTCGTCCAACATCTCCGCCTTCCAGTCCCTGCACATCGTCATGCTGGGCCTGGACTCGGCGGGGAAGACCACGGTGCTCTACCGGCTGAAGTTCAACGAGTTCGTCAACACCGTGCCCACCATCGGCTTCAACACCGAGAAGATCCGGCTGAGCAACGGGACGGCCAAGGGCATCAGCTGCCACTTCTGGGACGTGGGCGGGCAGGAGAAGCTGCGCCCGCTCTGGAAGTCCTACAGCCGCTGCACCGATGGCATCATCTACGTGGTGGACTCGGTGGACGTGGACCGGTTGGAGGAAGCCAAAACGGAGCTGCACAAGGTGACCAAGTTCGCGGAGAACCAGGGCACCCCGCTGCTCGTCATCGCCAACAAGCAGGACCTGCCCAAGTCGCTGCCGGTGGCCGAGATCGAGAAGCAGCTCGCCCTCCACGAGCTGACCCCTTCCACCACGTACCACATCCAGCCCGCCTGCGCCATCATCGGCGAGGGGCTCACGGAGGGCATGGACAAGCTCTACGAGATGATCCTCAAGCGCAGGAAGTCCCTCAAGCAGAAGAAGAAGCGGTAGAAGCCCCGCCGAGGCGGGGAGGGATGGAGGAGCAGACAAAGGAACCGAGGGGGAGACAGAACCAAAGCGATTCTTCTGGGTTTAATTGTTATTTCCCCCCCCTTTATTTTTTTTCCTCCTTCCCCAACGAACAGACAATAGTGGTGGTAACAAAGCGGCTCCCGCCAGCCGAGCCCAGATCCCGGAGCTCCGCTCTCCCACCCGCTCCTGAGGGTCTGATCCGGACTCCTTCGGGCTGGAAACATGCAAAACCGGGGTGATTCCCCCCGCTCCACCCTCCAGGACCACCGAGCCTTTGTGTGCCGGGGGGGCCAACAGGGCAGGACCCTGTTGAAGCGCGTTCGAGAGGAGCCCAGTGCGCTTTTGGTCTCCAATGTGTGCATTTTGGGGCGGGGGGTGTCGATGCCAGCCCCCCACATGCATTTCGGGGACAGGGGATGCTTTGGGGGGGGGTATGGGTGCACTCTGGCTCGGCAAGGTCAGCGGGGAGGGGTCTCGCAGCTGCACCCCGATACCCACCCGTATCCCTGCATCCTCGTATCCCTGCATCCCCGCATCCCTCCCCCGCGGTCGGCGGTGGGAAGGGGTGTTGGAAACTTGAGGGGGGGTTGGACCAGCAGAAAATGTCGGGGGGGGAGGGGGTGACGGGTAAGAGGACACCCTCCCCCCCCTGGCTGGTGTTCTAGGGTGCAGAGCAAGGACAGGCAGCCTTTGGGGTGGGGGGGGAAGGATGCGGCGCGGGGGGGGCTGAGCAGCTGCTGAGTGGTGCTGAGCTTTAAGCTCTTCGTTTATAAAAAGGGGGGGGGAAAGCCAAAAAAAAAAAAAAAAAAAAAAAAAAGAAAAAAGCTGAGTTTGTGGTTCTGGTCACTGTGCTGCTCTGCAGTGGGGGCAGGAGGCCAAGTCAGGTTTTAAGGAGGGGGTCACGGCAGGGCAGAATGGACGGACAGAGGTGGCCAGAGCTTGTAAAAGTCTCTGCTGGAAAGGGAAAATGACAGGGCGTGAGGAGACACGGGGGGGGGAGTGTGCAGCTTTGGGGGAGGTAGGTTTTTAACAAAGATTTAAATCTGGTTAAAAGCCCCTCATTGCCCACGGTAGCCATATGGGCAAGCTCTGCCTGCAGAGCCATCCGGACAGCGTCAGGCCTTGCCACCTCCTTCTGCAGGTGAACATTTTGGCACCCGGATGGGACTGGGGACCAAAATCCACTTGCTGTCTGTGTTTTAGCTCTCTGCAGGAGAAAACCAAGGTCCTGGCTTCCCACAGAGCAGAAGCAGGCAGCCCTCAGGGGCCAAATACTCTGAATTTTGAACCAGGCAGGATTTTCTGGTGATTTTACACCAGCCTTCCCGTTTGCAAACCCCTTCCCTGAGCACCGAGGGGAAACCACCGAGCAGACAAAAGAAAAATGCCCTCCGGCTTTCGGGGAGTTGATTCTCCCTTTGCAGGATGAGCTCAGCACCTTCCAAATAGCTCTTTTTGTTTGTTTGTTTTTGGTTTTGTGAGGAAACCCCTCTCGTTGCGGGGTTTTGAGTTCCCGACGCGAGTCCCGACTTGTGCACCGAGCGAGTGGGCTGGTCCCATCACTGCAGGTGGCTCTGTTCCCACTTCCTTGGCTTCCCCTGCTTTGTCTTCACCTCCAACACTTTGGTACTTGCCGTCGAGAGAGAGAGAAAAAAAGGAATTATTTATTTTTGATGCCACAGAAGCCACGTGTATTACCCCTTTTTTTGGAGAGTGACCCATTTTAGAGGTGAAATGGAAAGCTGTGTTGACAACCCCCCCCTGCTCCAGAGGGAGCAGGTTTTAGGAATGACACGTTGTGGGTTTCCCCCCACACTGGCATGGAAAGCCTGGTGGTATTTACGGAGCTCCCATGTCCTGGGAGTTTGTTCTACCCAGCTGAGCATCCCCTTGGAGAAATGGCAGAGCACTGGGAGGTGCAGGTGGGACGCTGTGCTGGTGCTGTTCCCACCAGCTCTGCTTTCTGCAATAATTAAAGAGACTTTTCCAATGAGTAGCTCATGGCTTCCGTGGTATTTCTGTCCCCTTCCACAACCATACACTGATTTTTCCCTGTGTGAAGATGTCACCTACAGTGGGCTACAAGAAGAGGTTCCTCAGCAGGACATCTGAGGGAAACTGTCTGAGGTCTTTGTTAGGTTGTGTGTCTTCTCAAAATATGTTTCCATGACCTGGAATTTTTTTAGCAGGTCTCATTTCCCCAGGTCCCTCTGCCGTGTTCCCATCCGTGTTGGGTATCCCGCTGCCCATTGTCCATCAGTCTCTGTTCCTCCTGTCTTTTCTTTTTCTTTTTCTTTTTTTTTTTTTTTTTAAAGAGGCAGACATAATGCTGTGAACTGAAATAAATTATTTATACAATGAAAGGGCCTGATAAAAAAAAAACAAAACAACTCGAAGTGTTGTTCTGCTCATTTCTCAATCTCAGGGCTGCGTTTTGCAGTTGGTTCTTGTGTGGTATGAAGGAGGTTCCTCCCGCTCCCCCAGCGAGAGGAGGTGTGGGATGGAGGATCCAGTGGCACGGATCTGTTGCCTGGCAGCCCTCTGGGACATGGGGGACATCCATAATTTGGTGGTTAATGAAATCTGAGCTCTTCTGCAGGTCACTTAATATCTCTGCATCTCTGCTGCTGTCTGTGAAAGAGGAAAATGCAGTTTGGTTGGGAGGAGTTTCTTCCATCAGCTCGTGTGATTTTAAATCCATGTGAAGGAGGCGATCAGGGAGTGACACAGTTTGGATTTTTGCTCAGTTGTGGCTTTTTTTAAACACGTGGCCTCAGGCAAGTGGTGTCAGTGGCAGAGGGCCAGGTCTGCAGGGGTTAAAACACCAGTTGAGAGCAGGATGCTGCAGACAGAGCTGGAGGCTCCCTCTGCTCCTGGGTGGCTGCTGACACAGGAAACCCAGGGTGACATTTCGGAGAGGAGAGACAGAGCTGGCTGGTAAAGGACTTTTTCTTCCCTTTTTTAAAGATGATGACATGGCAGCCAGAGGGAAGTGCCAAGGCCAGTTTGTGAAAGCGTGGTGAGCCCTCAGCCTGCTGGGGCCTGAGGGGGGACATCCTGGCTGCTCTGCAGGGTCGGGATGGGGGGTCTGAAGGGTGACAGGACCTCAAAATGAATGGCTGGAGCTGTGTCAGGGGAGGGTTAGGATGGATCTCAGGAAAAGGTTCTTCCCCAGAGGGTGGTCAGGCACTGACCAGGTCACGGCCCCAAGGCTGCCAGAGCTCCAGGAGCATTTGGACAATGCCCTCAGGGGCAGGGTGGGATTGTTGGAGTGTCCTGGGTAGGGCCAGGAGCTGGACTTGATCCTTATGGATCCCTCCCAGCTCAGGAGCTTTTGTGATTCCATGAACCCAAAGGCTTATCCAGCACTGCAGCTGCTGAGCTCCTGCCAAGGCTCACCCAGAAATCACTTGGAGCTGAGCTGGACTGTGACCTGTGGCGTCCAAGGATGGAGCTGTGGAGTGCTCAGCTGCCCCCTGACCCTGCAGAGCCTCTGGAAGGTGCAGTTCCCCACGGGCTCCTCACACAGAGCATCAGCAGCAGGCTCCTGTCCCTCTGCCACACAGTCCTGTGCTCCTGGAGATGCCCTTCACTTCCCTTCACGCCTCTGGCCCCATTTTCCAGGCAGCAGGCAGGATGTTTCTCCTGGTTTCATGGATCTGAAAGCCCAGGAGTGGGTGCTGCAGTGCCTGCACCCTCCTTAGCATGCCGGGACTCATTCTCACCCATCCCACCTGCTGGGAGCTGATTTAGGAGGATTTTCCTGCTGGCATGGAGGTGTGGACACTTGTTTTGTGTCCCTACACAGGCTTAATGGGGGAACCATCCCTTTTCCTGAGATGGAGGAAGAGCAACAGCCCTCAGGGTCTGGGCAGTAGCTTTGAGAGGCTGTGACTGTGTGTGTGTGACTGTGCAACTGGATCTACCCCCTCCCGTGGACGGGAGAGGGGCTGGGATTTCTCCAGAGCCACTGGCTTGTGGGAAGGGGTGGGAGGGGTTGTGTCTTGTCAAAAGGGAAGCTCCTTGTGCTTCCAGCTGCAAGGGCAGACATCCTCCTTCGAGCAGCCTCTCCCCCTGGCCAGAGAGTGCTTTTGTCAGCAGGGGGCTTGGTGTGTTTGGGCCAGTTGTCATGAAAACATTGCACAAGGAGCTCAGTGACCTTGTGGTGCCCCGAGGCTGCTCTGGCCCTGGTTTATGGGTCTGCACCACCTCCCCGAGCAGCCAAACAGCGAGTGATGCTGGAACCCTGGTCCCCAGCACGATGTCTGGGGGCCCCGGGGCACGTGGAGCCCCAGGCCAGGGGGGCAGTGCCCCAGGATGTGCCCCTGGCAGTGCCCCAGGATGTGCCCCTGCGTGGGACCGGCCGGGAGGAAGAGCAGCAAGGAAGCAGCTGGGTTGTGGCTGCATCAGCTGAGAGAGACCTGGCGCTTTCTGAATGGCAGAAGAGCCAAGAAGAGGATGGACCAGGGCTGGGGTGCAGCTGGGAGCGGCAGGGGACGGAGCGAGGACAGGAATAAGCAGAGATGAGCTCCCAGCCTGTCCCCTGTTCCTCCTCTGCTGATCCCTGACAAACCCCCCCTCTCTGAAGGCCACCAAGGGAGGGTTGCTGAGCCATCTCCAAGCACTCTCAAGGACAAGGGAGCCTCAACCACGCCTCTGACAGCCTGTGTGTCCCACTTTTCCACACACACAGCTTCCCTCCGTCTCCTTCATGCCCAGAGCCCCTCTCTCCCAGGTTCTGCTTGGCCTCGTGGGCTCTCAGCTCCACAGGTCCTTCTGCCTTTGTTTCCCCGCTTTGCCTCGTTAAGCTAAATCCTCCTGCTTTATTTCAAATGGGATTTCCTTCCCAAGCAAGGATCTTTAAAGGGATCATCTCGGCTAATGCGATCCGTAGGGCGCTGGATCCTTGGAATGTGGTGTCATGCAACCACAGCTATTGCATTGCACAGCACAAGGCCCTTCTGGTCAAATTTTGGGTGGGGTGAGGATGACCATCCCTTTAAAACAGACTAGAAACAATTATCAGGAGAAGAAAAAAAAAAAAACCCACAGTGATTCAAACCTGGTTTCCATTCAGTCAGCTCCATCCCAGAGCTTTTTCAATGGGAATTGCCCCAAATCATGCGTGGTTTTTGTGTGATCCCTTTTGTGAGTCAGGCCTGTAGGACCTTGAACACTTTGCACACGTATCATGCAAAAAAAAAAAAAAAAGGTGGTGCTGGGCTAGTAGGACAAAATTGAGCCATTTTAGCACAAGCAAATTCTTCCTGAGGAAGGTTGAGAGGGAATATGGAGAGCTCAGCCTGGGAATATTTGCTCTAATAAACCATTCTGTTTGTTTCAGCTTAGCTTGTGTTTGCTTCCCTCCCATATTTGAGGGAGATTCAAGGGAGGAAAGCTACGAAAACCCAGCAGCTCTCCAGCAACTACATTAAAATACTGCTGGAAGGGGAGTTATGAGGCCTGGAAACCCCCAGATGTTGGTGTTGGTGCAGCCCAGGTGACCAGAAACAGTCCCACGTGCCAAATGACCCCCTCACCCTCCCTCCCTGACAGCCCTGACTAGGGACATTTACTGCTTCCAGCAATGCTGCAGCGGGATGGGAATTTGTGGGAAATGCTGCTGAACTCACAGCCAAGGGAGAAAGGGAGGCAGAGAGCATCTCACCCAGCTCCTCATCAACCCACTGCTTAAATTAGTCTTATGTATTATTATTATTCATTCTTATTTATTGTTATAAATAATAAACAGTCATTCTATTTAGGATTAATATTAACAATATATTTATTGATTGTAATACACAAGATTATAATACATATACTTATTAATAAATAACAATAATTGTAATAAATAAATAATATAAATAATAAAAGGGTGGGGAGGCCCTGGCACAGGTTGCCCAGAGAAGCTGTGGCTGCCCCATCCCTGGAAGTGTCCAAGGCCAGGTTGGACGGGGCTTGGAGCAACCTGGGCTAGTGGAAGGTGCC